ACTCTCGCTCTTGCTCTCTCTTACTCTCGCTCTCGCGAACGACCTAGATTCATTGTCTCCAATGTAAACTATGCCGTGCATATCTTCTTCTTTTCTTTTTTTTTTCTTCTTCTTTTACGTTGGCTGCCTTATGAAAGCGATAACCTGTGCAAATTGTGACGATTGTATACGATGTTGAAGGTTTCATTTGCATAACATTGGAATGTTCCATCGAATAATTTTTTTTCTTATTTTTTTTTTTTTTTCATATTTTATGTTATATTTTTTTACATTATGTCTACATAAACTGGATTTTTCTTACCTGTCATAACGATATTCTTCCAATATCTTTCTCTTATCACGAAAGATAAAAAAAAAAAAAAAAAGAATTTTTACAACGAAAGTTAAGTTAAAAATTGTTGCAATAGTAAAATAAAATATTAAATAAAAAAATAAATTTAATTATTTCAATTTTAAAAATGTAAATGTTTTTTAAAGGTAAGTTATACTTTTTCTTTCGTTGATATCATTGATATATGATATTTACGTATTCCAATAATCGTACGATGTTAATAAATGCGACAGGAATAATGTTTTTTTCATTACGTTTTTAGCATTTTTTATTTTATCATTATTTAACATTGACTATTATTCCATTTGACAATATTTTATCATTCAATAATGTGAAAAATCAATTCAGTCTATTTTCAAAAAGATAGATCAATTGAAATGACAATTTTTATTTTAAAATTTAAAAAATAAATATTTTCTGTATAAATTGTGTATTAACTAAAAGATTGAAGTTGTACACATTATCAATAATTTAATTTCAGAAAATTACACAAGGAAAGTGAATTATTTATAATTGATAATACATGAATTATTATTTTATTATTATAAATAATAATATAGTTAAATATTAAAAAGATGATATATATATATATATATAAGTTAATGAATGTTAATATATTCATGTATTTGAAATAAATCTTATTTGAGACTTACTTATTAATTTATAAACAATTTAAGATAGCGTTAGATGGAGCGAGATAGAGCAAATAGTTCTGCCCTCGTCACATCGAGGTCACGCATTAACTTCGTCTCGTTTCATCTAACGAAAATCTAAATTGCTTAGTAAATGAACTTCAATCGATATTTTTGCATATTATTTTTCTACTTGTTTTGATCTTTAGAATCCTGTGATAATGAATAAATAAATAATTGATCTTTAAATACATAGTAAATAAATTTAACCATGATAATAATATTATTAAGATTTGTTTGATGTCGTAATAATATCTTTTGTTTACAACTGTTGTTGCACTGTTTTTAATACATGTTGTTATATTAGATTATTTAATTTTTATTGTATTGGTTTAAAATGTTTGTTCTTAAACAAGTTTATAAAATCATTTCAATTGAATGACAAATTTGTAGAATTAATATGAGATGAATATTATGAATATTATATATGAGATGAATAATTTTACATTTTGATTATGATATAACAATAAATAATATAATTATAATGATTATTCATTTGAAAAAAAATATAAGATTTTAATCAAGACAAATTAAATAAATTATTCAATTTAAAAAAAATATAATGTTAATTCATATATAATGCATGTTATTTAAAAATTACTGTCTTGATAAAAATGTGATAAAATATTTTATGTAACATTGTGAATTAATTACAATTACAATATATAATAAAATTATTTTATTAAGAGAAAGTGTTGAATTATATTAAAAAGAAAATGTACATTTCTTTTGTGCATGATTATTCATGAGTAAAATATTTTTCCATTTCTAATTTAATATATAATTATTATTATTAATAATAATATTTCCACAAATACCGTTTTTTTGATCTTTTAATATTGATATTATCATTGTTCACATAACTTTTTATAGTTTATAAAATTGATTAATAACTGAGTTTTTTTTTATTTTTTTAAAAATAATTCTTCTGATAATTATATTTTTTTTCCAATTTTTTTTTCATTATAAAAAAATAGTAATATTATTTTTCATAAAGATAATTTATTTTTGATATCTTTGACGTTATACAGAAATGTGGTGAAAAAAAAATTTTATATCGTCAAAATTGAAATTATGTGATTATGTGATACGGTGATACTGTGACAGTGTAATAAATTAAAAAAAAAAAAAAAAAACAATATGGCTTCATATTTTCGATGGATAAAGGGGGGAAAGAAGGGGGATTATTTTGGGGCAAAAACAAAAAGGGCTTCTTTTGGTTGGGCCAAAGGAAGCGCCCCTCGTTTCCCCCCTTTTCCCCCCAAAAAATGAAGAAAAATTTTTTTTTTTTTTTATATCGTCAAAATTGAAATTATGTGATTATGTGATACGGTGATACTGTGACAGTGTAATAAATTAAAAAAAAAAAAAAAAAACAATATGTCTTCATATTTTCGATGGATAAAGAGTGGAAAGAAGGATGATTACTTTGGAGCAAAACCAAGAAGTCGTTCTTTAGATTCGAAGAGTCTCGAGGCATCAGGGATACGACTGATTATTCAAAATGTACTTGCAATTTATTTTTTTTTTTATATGATATAATTTTTCCTATTTTTTGGCAACAATGGTATTAACAATAATCATCATTGCAATGAATACATATATATATTCATTTAGATGTATTATTATTAATTAGCGTTTATGCTATTCAGGGTCTCGTTAAAATAAACACGTATTTCTGTTTCAGAGGACTGCGGCCCAACATCAATCTCAATCAACTTCACAAGGTAAGTACAAATATATTTTATATTTAGATAAATTTAAAATCGAGTATCTGATTATTGTTAATTCTATATAAATTAATAATAAATATAGTATATTCAAGATAATTAAAAAATATTTGTATCTGATAGCCGAAAAATAATGTATATATGATTTATTATTTTTTATTTTTCTTTATTTTTTATTTATCACAAAATATTGCGATGCATGTCATATAATCAATATTCAGATAAATATAAAACTACTAATAATAAAAAAAAAGTATCTTTTTTGTTAGAATATTAAATACATTAAATTATTAAATTGTATACACATTTTATTTTTTTTTTTTATTATATCAAAACTATTTATTATATCATATCTATGCATTTGCAATTTCTGTAACATTTAGATAAACATATATTTAATATATTTTATTATAAAATATGCTTTAAAAATTGGAGAATTATCTCAAGAGATAAAATATTTCGTAATAATTCACGATATCCACACTAGATGTCGACTTTAGGTCGTGTATTTAATATGGCGCGTATATTCCGAAGTACGTAGGTAGCCAATGCTGGCGGGACTTGCGCCTCAGAAGGTTTTTGTACCGCAACGCGTACGGTAGCACGTGCTTGAAAGTTGTTCACTTCGTATTCACTTACCAGCTTAATGATCAATGCCCGCGATTCTTTGAAATCACGAGTTATTATCGAAATTGTGCACGAATCATGGCCCGTTCTTAACCTAGAATCACGTTCGATTAAAACTGTTTTGTTGCGCGCGCGAATCGTCGCAGAAAAGTCGTACGTGCGAAATGTAACGTAACATCGAAGGAGAGTTCACACGGGTTTAGTTTAACGGTTGTAATACAAATCTTTCGATGTTATTTCCCTTGGTTTTTGCGAATTTTTGTTGATAACATTAACAAGCGAATGGCTGTTCAAACGGATTATAACAAGAACGTATCAATAACGGCACGATCTAAGATTGTAAACGTAAACACTATTACGCGTTGCTTATTATCTTGCGACAAATGTGTATTAGAACCGGTGTTTCCTTATTCGTCAATCGAACTTCGGTAGTTTTTATTTGTTGATGATCGACTTAATCGATGATAATTTGTTCGTTGCGCAAAATCTGTTTAATGGTGCTTCCAATCAATGTTCCCGATAATATCCATTTATGCGTCGAATTAAGAAACGTTTGATTTGTCAATTTTTTGTGAAGTGACAACCGGTAAAGTCATTACAAATTTAAATTTATTGTGCAAGTGATTATGTGTTTATTTTTGTTGATATAAAAAAGATTTTGTTTTCTGTTTATTTGTCTGATAGTGTTAAAAAAAATTGAACTTATTAAGCTCATAAGTTGTGAAGTGCATTGTGAAATTTAAAAGTGAAAAACAGAAATTGAAGAATCGTTCAACATATTTTAACTGATATAATCTACAACAGTTGGTAAGTGTCTATTAATAAATTTTTTCATTTCATTGAAATTTCATTTCCGTGATCCGAATCGAGAAACGTGGGCATTTATTCAATGAAGTATATATATGAACATTTGACATTATTTAAAGGTTCGAAACATCTTAATGTTATATCATGAATTTATTCTTCCAATTCTTATCATAATTCATAATTATACATCACAATTCAAATTATATTAAAATTCAAAAAAGAAAATATTAATGAAATAGTCATTCAAAATGCATGCAAATTGTTTTTTTTATTATGTATTAAAGTATTGAGATCAGTTTCATTTATATTTTCGTGATTGCATTTTACTTTTTTTTTTGCGGCAATGCAGACGAAAATTGAGTCATCGTGCTCATGTACCAATATTTTTGACCAATATGTATCAGTATATGGTGTATATCCACGCAAATATACAACATACATTTCAGATACATCATTTTCAATTTTCTCGTGTTCTTCTTTAGTCACTCCGTATGTATCTTTAGTCACTACGTGTGTGGTTATACTTGAATTAATAAGCAATAAAGAAGAAAATAACGAGTTTAAGGATTATCGTTTTTTTCAAGTAATAAATTTAATTCAAAGCGATATAAAACATTCTTTTACATATTATTTATTTCACTCAATCAAGGTTATATTGACATTAAAAATATAAATCGATTAATTTGTCATGTGTATCTAGACACTATCGCTCACGTAATTCACGTTTATCGTATACTTACCGTATGTAGGAATTTTAAAATAGAATTCTTTTGTGTATGTACATTTCAAAGCCATGTGTATCAATGAAGGTGAAAAACTTATCTTGATGTTCTCTGCAGCATGCAAAGAACAAAAAGTACATTCTGTTTAAAAATCACAAAAATGATAAACATTATTCTCTATATTTTATTAGGTTATATATTTATATTCTTAGTATTTGAAGAAAGATTTGCAAAGATATTTAAATATTTTAATTTTAATTTAATTCTTTATTTCGAATAAATGAATATTTAACTTAAAAGCTTTTAATCGTTCAAATACTTGAAATCAGAATAAAAATAAAAGAAATTAAATCATAAAGATATTTAGATTGATGATTATTTCATTAATTTCAAGAAATTAAATAATTAATCAGAATCAATTTACAAAGACTTAAAATTTTTATCAAAATCAAAATTTAAAATCATTAATGAAGATAATCTAAAAATATGTTATTATTTACTGTATTATATATATCTATATATATCTTAATCTACTGATTTCAGAAAATATGACAAATTATTTGTATCATCATTTGGCAATGCTATGTAATTCTATTTTAAATATTGAACCATACATTTTCAGAGTTAGAGATTTTTATAGAGTTAGATTACTGACCTAGTTGACATTAGTTCTACTACGGATCTCGTATGTGATAATCCAGCAAACTTTATTCGCTGTTAGAAAATTAGTCGTAGCTACTGCTCGTTATAGTTCATCCTTTTTCTCTTCTTTTTTTTTTTTTTATGCAAGATATGTAGGTCATTGATAGATCAAATTGGTTGAAATTAAATTTTAAACTCGTAATTATAAATTATTGTACGAAACATTTTACGTAATCAAAAAGTTTTAATATTCAATTTAAACATCGTTATTGTATAAAATATTGTGAATCTTTTGAAGTTTATGATAATTTTAAAACATTCTTTAGACAAAATCAATATTATGCTATAAATTTTAAAAAAATATATATATGTAACTTTTAATTTTTTTTTATTAATTTTTAATTATTTTTTAATTATTATAAATTTGTAAATTAAAAGTAATATATAAGTATATAAATAATACTTATTTAATTAATAAATAATAATTAAAAAATTGTGAAATTATAACATCAATGTTTCGTTATTTAATTTTATAATCCAAAAGTAAAATTTATAAAAATTTAGAAAATTTTAATTTTTGTACATCTTCGAATCAATTTTTTTATTTTTTTGTTTTTTGCAAATTTTTTAATTCTCTTAATTTCTTCTTAATCATAATCTTTAAGTAAAAAAACAAAATTTAATTACATTATCTATTCTATACAAAAGCTATACAATAAACTTTTTCAATTTAATTTCTATGCTTACAAAGAATGCTTTTTTTTAAAAATCGAAAAGTTAATTTTACTTTTACAGACATATACAAACAAAGTATTCCGTATAAAAGCAATTCTTAACAATTGAACACATAAACTCTTATAATTTATAATTTCCAAGGAACAATTGTTTTGAACTATAGATATAAAATATACAGCTGCGAAATTTTACTAGTTAGCATTTTTTGAACAAAGAATATAAGAGAAGAGTAGGAACACACGTTCGCACTACCACTAGTAGACAACACTTACGGACGAGTGGCGACATTGGTTCATCGGTGTGTGGCGTGCCAATATATAAGTAACCAATAGGAGCCGAGTTCCTCTATTCTGTCAACTCCTCAGAACATAGTAGTGTTTCAAGGATAGGACAAGGTCACACGGTACACAAGATTCTCCTCGTAAACAGGACGGATCCTTTTCTTATGGATACTTTCTTTTACTCCCGCTCTTATTATGATGTAGTCGAGAATAAAAGGATACTTATAATTACATTATGCATAGCCGAAGATGTTATTATTTTCTTAATTTTTATATTTTTATATTTTTCCTTTGTTTATGATTTTAATAGAATTTCAATTTTCTTTGCAATTATATCGTAATTAAAAATGAAAAATATTATTGTGTTACTTCTATATTTAATTTTAGAAATTAAATATATCTTAAATAACGATATTAAACATATTGATATATTTCATATATGAATTGGAAATGAGTTGATATAAAAAATTAATTGATTATTATTTACTTGACAATTTCAATTTATTCAATTTTGGCAAAGATCACATATCTAACTGAGCTTCATATATTAATAATAATACAATAAATTTAAATAAATATATATTAAAAAATTTTTTCAAAAGGAAGCCAAATTTATCGAGAGAAAAACTTATGATGTAATAACCGGTTTTCAGGTAATACTTTCGATTATTCGTGAAACACAATTTACATACTTTTAGATATGTAGGTCGATCGTCGAAGTAATACACGCTTCTTAAGTAGTATGGTAAACGCTTCACCACAACTGGAAATACAGTAGTGTAGTACTGACGGGTCTTCATCGACCTTGAAGAACCGGTTTCAAGATCCACATGTCGATAGAATCGATGTTCGAAACCGGAAACGTGTTTTGGGAGAAGTATTGTAATGTTAAAACACTTGTTTATGGATATACATTCCTTTATACATGATATAATAATATTATATATCGATTTTCATTGTTTCACGCATCTATGTTGGGGCAGCATTTATATAAGTTTCTAACTTAACCTCTCTACACTCTGAAAGAATTCATAGGTTAGTTGCTTATTCATGAAGAAAATATTTTTTATGCTATTACGTATCGATGGTAAAATAAATATTTTATGAAAGAGTGTGAAAGATTTATTTTCATATGTACATTATCATTTACAGTCTTTAAATAATTATTTAGTAGATGCAAAAT